TACTAGTGTCACCACAGAATACTTCAATATTTCGTTTTTACATTTAAACGGCTTGCGCGCGTCCAATGAATTCTTGTATTATTTACAATAGCACTATATATATTTTTTTTCCGCGGACAAAGAAACAAACAAATAAAGGAAAAAAAAAACACAAAGGATCATCCAAACAAAACAGAGAAAAACGACCTGGAAACGAGGTTCCTTTTCACTGACAGGGCAAATTAACGAATCGATACCTAACTCTTGGTGCCTACGAAGATTGCTGTTAAATTAGTTATTAGTTACATTTAATCCGAGCAACTGTTAATAGTTTGAAACAAAAGAAAATTGAAGGTTAACGGTATAATTAATTCAATCAAAAAAAATACGTTGATTGTAGTGAATATACTTTCTAACTGCTAAATTCACGCGGGTGGATACCTCGCGTGTATTTTACTTGACAAACTTTGTGCGCGTTCTCATCAATACCGCAAGCAAAATCACACAAAATGAAGAGAAAACATTTTTGATGGATATGATAATTTTTAAATGGAGGTTTCAAAAATTTTAATTAAGCTCATCAACGGATAAACGATTTTTTGCATTGAACGGTTCATGAGTACTACCTTTTATACGTTTAAAACTGGCCATTTGGCGCAATGTATTTTAAAAGAAAAACCATATCGTTATATTTTTCAGCGTCGAAAAMATGCTCACCGTTTCGCATTGGGCGGATCTCGTTGAGCTACATTGAGATTACACAACTACAATTCCCGCTATGTGCACGCAATATGTAAAACGTCGACGATCCCCATTTCTATGGCGATATTTCAGTTGAAGAGCGTTATTAGTTTGTCTTTTCATTGATTTCCATATCATATGTAAGTTGTTTGATTTGTTTGCAATTCAGGTGAAATAAAGAATAAAAAGCAGAGAGACTATTTGATCGAATCCAACGCATTTGTTTGGATACAACAACAATCAAGATAGACTGAAGCCAGAGTAAATCAAGTTGTTTTCTGCTGATTTTTTTTTCAAAATGGAATACACATCAGATCAACTGMACTTCTTCAGGCTGTCTTATATCGTCTTCGACATCGTACCTGAAGTTTTACGAAAGATTTTCAAGCAAGAATGGGATGCCTTATACAAAGGTACGCCTGGTCAGTGGGATGACACGCCTACCAGTTATACTGCATTTTATAACATGGAGTCAGCTAAGAATCAGGCAAGAAACAAACGCCTTCTTGAACTGATGTCCAGTGGAGACAGAAACAATTGGGATTGTACTTGTCTCTTTTATGCCATACTTTACTCAGACAGTGTGGGGCCGACATTAACATCAGTGGTCAGTAATGGCGTTGACGAAATCCGAGAAATTCGCAATGAAWTGGCACACAATAAAACGGGAAAGATGAGCGAAGCTGAGTTTCAAAAGTCCATAAAAAAGATCAAGTTAGCGTTCTCATGTTTAAAGGTTGATATAACAAGAATTGAAGAAATCAAAAACCAGACGTGTTTCCCTACAGAAGACCTTTCAAGAATTCAAAAGGAACTACAAAACGTCGAAAAAGAGTTACAAGTCGAAAAGAAACGAAAAGAGAACGCCGAAAAAGAGTTAGAAGACGAAAAAAAACGCAACGCCGAACCAAACTCTTTTTGTATATTGCCTCCGCACCCCTCCCATGACACAATATACAGAAAGAAAGAAGTCGACAGTATCTGCGAATCGATGCAACGGTTATCAAGTGAAAACCAGGGAGAGACGACAGTCGTTTATTTGTCTGGGAATCCAGGTTGTGGGAAAAGCGTGATGGCAAAACATATTGGRGAGAAGTGCTACGATCGCGATGACACGACAGAAACATTGAAGTTTGTGATGACACTTGATGCGTCAACCTTGGACACTTTGCTGAATTCATACATGATGTTTGCACAGAAACTGAACTGTTATCCTGATTCTATTACGAGTATTACTACTTCAAAAGATCTTTCCAAAGAAGAACAAATCCTCCAACTAAGGTTTCTTGTCGATAAACAAGTTGCCAAGTATTCGAAATGGTTGGTCATTGCAGACAATGTAACTGATTTAAAATTGTTTTCCAAGTACTGGCCACAAGGTGGAGAGAAGACTGGTGGCGAGGGTCAGACTCTTGTCACCACCCAAGACAGTTCCTCCATTGGTGTTAGCTTAAGCTCGCACTATCATCATGTCTCCATGAGGTCTGGTATGATAGAAGAGGATGCCCTTGAACTACTTTCTAAGGTATCTGGGTATACAGATGGAGAACACAGCTTAATTGTGAAAGTATGCAAAGCCTTAGACTTTCAGCCGCTTGCTTTATCGTGTACGGCAGTTTACGTGCGCAGTGTCCGCACCATTAACGAACAATATACGTGGCTTCAATGTCTGACGGATCTGGAGAGTGAGCGTGAAAAGCTAGAAACAGTTTACAAGAAAACGAGTTTGGCGTACAAAGCAACAATGACTGCTGCAGTGAATCTAGGCATCCAGAGAGAGATTAGTGAAGAGGTTATGCTGCATGCATTTCGTTTCTTATCTTTRATTGCATCAGATCCMATCCCTTTAAAGTATGTCGTGGAGTATGTTGTTAAGTGTATGCCTGACGAAGACAAGAATGGGGTYGCTGTGCGAATTTGTTCGTCGTCAATGGTATGCTCATCATTTGTTCAGGAAACAAAGGAAATTAGCATGCATCAAGTGGTTTACCACTGTTTGCAAAAGCATGAAAAACTAAGGGAAAGTACTGTGGACATGTTTACGGTGATTTCTGCATTCTCTGAGATTCCARTCATTAATGATGAATGTCCAGTTGATGGTTTGACCGTTACAAAGCCACTAGTAAACCACTTTTTAAATGTTTCGAAAAAACTAATCGACTACGTCGTCACTAAAGAGTCTACAAGTGAACGTGTGCTAGAGGACCATTTGTGCAGTGTTCTGAACCGTTTAGCCTCAGTTTTATCCGAGCACGTCAGTTTAGAGAGCGCAAAGGACTTTTTACAGGTAGTTTTAGCATTGGAAATGTCGAGGTCTATATTGTCAAAAGCAAAAGAAGTATTGATTGTTTTAATGGGTACCAATCATGTCGAATATATTTCAAATATAAACATTAACGGCATCTCTCCATCAGTGGGCATTGCCATGAACAACTTAGGCAATGCATATCAAAAACTAGGTCGACTGGAGGAATCGATAACATATTACGAGAAAGCCCTTGCAATCAAAACAGCTGTGTACGGTGGAAACCATCCATCGGTGGGCGATACCATGAACAACTTAGGCAATGCATATCAAGAACTAGGTCGACTGGAGGAATCGATAACATATTACGAGAAAGCCCTTGCAATCAAAACAGCTGTGTACGGTG